ATATCGGTTGATTACCAAAACCGGCCATTGATTTAACCACGTGGTTAGAAGTTAGATCACCCCAATTTGCAAACATTGGGCCCCTTATATTAACCGTTGCTTTTTTTTTTGGTTTGGCGGTGGTGGTGGGAATCGAACTTGAGATGTGTGTTGCTCAGCAACTGCGAACTACTATCCAAGCCCTATTACAATGTGGAATGGATTATGGACATTTAAGATGAGGAGTCTGTTACTCGAATTATAATTACTAATAATAACCGACATTATGATTACGACTAAAATTAGTCATGCAAATTGCACATATCTACTGAAAGGAAGGAAGAGATGTCAAACCAGATATTGGTAACAAGTCTCTTGCTGTGGAAAGAGGGTGGAGACATGGTGGTATAACTACCACATTCTAGTCACCACATCGTGATTTTCATTTCTATTAAGACCATCTCATTAACACCTTTGAAACTAAATCTTAAATTATTTAAAAAAACGGGTACTAAATTACCCATAAAAAACAAACAAGTCTCCTGTATAAAAAAATCAGATGCAAATACTTTCTGCTATATTATTTCCCGTGTGCGTAATGGATTGCCTATCCAATCTCATAAATGATGCAAAATCTTAAAAGAAAAAAGAAATGGGAAATTGATTTTGAAAGGGAAAAATTATGCTATATATTCTAGATTACAAAAATATGAAGAAAATAATAGATACAGAAAAAATTCTTCAAAATATGCCAAAAATCATAATTGATTTTCTTTTTATGGCATCCCAAATCCCACCCTCGGTTGGTCCTTTGTAATTCTATAATTATAATAATGTATATCTAAATTTTGTTTATAATTTAATTTCTTTCAACAATTATAAGTAAAAAACCATAAGAAAACCAAAACCCAAAAAAGGAAGGAAGAGAACCAAAATCATGGGAGAAGAAGGTTCCAAAACATGATAAGGTGGTCAGGGCAATGGGTACGATGATATCTTGAATTTTTATTTTCTATAACGTCTTGAGTTCCATTTTTTTTTAGCTTAAGAGTCCTAAACTACCCAAAAAGTTACTAAAAAAAAAGAAAAGAGAGAGAGATTCCATTCCTAACGTGGTAGCGACTCTTTCCCTGCTAAATTTCCCGAAAAGAAAAAAAAAATACAAACAAAGAAAATAAATAAATAAGTAAAGATTTGAAAAAAGCAATCATCAAATTAACGAAAAGAAAAAAAAACAAAAACCATTGGGAAAGAGAAAAATGAGAGAACAATTTGGTTGAAAAGTGCACGGGGAAAGTTGAAATAAAAGCAATTATCTTTTTTCTCAATTGTTCATTGATCCAAATCTTTTCCTTTTGCAAAGAATTAGGTTTGGGCTTGAGCTCGAGTGGTTAGCAATTGATGTTTGCAATACTACATTTCAAGTTCAATTCCTACTACTGAACTACAAAAAGAGGAAAAAAAAATCTTTTTCTTTATGCAGCTTAGCCTTGAGAGTTTGAGAGAGAAAGTAAGAGAATAATCTCTAGGGCACACCGTATTTCTCATTGTAAAATGGAAATTAGATTCAAAGTTAAAGGGAACGCTTGATTTTCAAAATTTAAAAAATTCGAACTCATATTTCACATTTTATATTAAAGTCTCACTTTTTTAGAGTATATAATGCATCCAACTTCATTTCATTTATTGGATTAAACTCAAATTCGCCATCCTGCACCTATAAAAATATATAGAAAATAACTCAATAATAAAAATTATGAAAATATCCCTTCATGGTTTGGGGGTATTTCGGTAATTTATTCTTTCAGTATTTCTACATTTGCGTGATGTGAGAATGTGCAAGCTCCAAATTTGAGCTTAATCAAGTATATAAAAATATAAAATTAAAATCCTTGCAAAAACTAGGACTTGAGCGTGAAATATGAAATATAAAGGATTTTTTTTATTTTAAAAATAAAGTGAGATTTTTATGTAAATTCTCCAAAATTGAACAATCAGGCAGCCCATGTTTTTAATTTTTTAAGCTTATCTTAGCAAAAATTTGAAAAACAATGAAAAGTTCATGCACCAAAAACATCACACGTAAGGAAAAGAGCATGGGCTTAATCGGATAGCGCTTGACATGGGCTTAATCGGATAGCGCTTGACAATTTACAACGTTATGTTCAAAGCTCAATTCCTACCGAGGTAGCGGCCCTCTCCCATTGACTCACCCAAAAAAAAAAAAGATTAAAAAAAAGTCAGTGGTATGATCGCATGTGTGTGCAAAAGAGAGAGAGAGTGAGCATGGTGACTTCATTTTCTGAACCACTACTTCCTTGACAGAATCCATGACATACAAAAGATAGATACAGCATCTATAGCTTATTCTGTTGGAACATACTGTAAACTTACTTTCTCGAGTGAAACACTCAATGTGTATAGGTTACTTTGTTGGACCATATTGTAAACTTACAACCTCAAGTAAAGTAAGCTACTGTAAACTTACATCCTCAAGTAGAACACTTAATTAGGAATTTTTTTTGATGCGTAATTTTAGGATCTATATTAAATCACCAGACTAATCATCAAAAAATTGGATACTCTATTGACTTTTCAATCACTTATGAAATGCCCATATTTCTTCTTTTTAGAAGTTGGTTGCTGATTTGATGAGGTATATCCAAAAATTTGGAATCCTAAGAATCGTCCTATGTAGAAATTTCTCGAAGGTTTGATGTGGAGTGAATATACAATATGGTCCTGCAGGAGGGGATAATCTTTTGGCAAAAAAGATAAGCCTTTGATAAGTTTCGAAACCTCGAGTGCAAACGGTCCTGTTGCTTAAAGATTCGGAGCACTAGAATTCATTCCTATTGCATGTCACATCAACATAAAAAACAAAGGGAAAATAAATCATTGTGGCTTTTCTTTAATAAAAGTCTTCTAAAAAAATAGCATTCTAAGGATGGGGAACCCACTTGTTGCGGTATGAGTCGAGATCCTGGGTGGGTTCGATTCTTAGCATAGTATAGTATACTGGCATCTACTATACTATTAATTTTATATATTACATATGGGAATTTAATTTTAAATAATAAAACTCTTGGCTCCTAAGAAAAGAGAATAGGTAGGCTGATGCCCTTGTAAAGGAGCAAGTGTTCTATAGAAAATTTAAAAAAAAGCAATCCTGCAACCCCTCCCCAAGTTCTCTCTTTAAGAGAGGGGTGAGGTTCGTATACCGTGTCAATTTTATATTATTGAAGTAAGGTGTGCTTCAAAATTATGCCAAAAAAGCAGTTTATGAAAATCTATTGTTGCTCTCAATTATGAAATTTAAAGTTCCTGGTGACGATCAAGCAGATCTATAATCATTTAAAAACATTAAAAAATGGACAATAATCCAGATAATATGTTAGATAATGAACTAATTTTTGAACTGAAAATCCAAATTTTTTTTTTGTCTATGAATCTTGAGGTTGAGACGATTGATTTGAGGATTTTTCAACATAGAAACTACCTTTTCTAGTGAGTTCTTTAGGTACACCATACACGTACATGGTACGGTTGACACCTTATAAATTTCATTCGTTTAGGGATGAGAGAGAGAAGTCATTGTATGTGTGATGAGAGCGAGGTCATTGCATGAACCCAAACCGGCCAAGGGAATCTGCTATCTAAAAATCTAATCCATATCGGTGAATCATTGAACTGGAATTGAATAGTTGAATTAGCATGTTCTGGGTAGAAGAAAAATAAAAAATAATAAAATATATGTTAATTTGCTCGATTTAGATCATTAGTTTCCTAACATAATCGCCCAATTTCGTAATAATATCTGACAATTCCAATGAAACTAAACCGATTACCGGTTCGAGCAAAGAAGCAGATCAAACACTGGTAAGAAAGTAAAGGAGGAGGAAGAGAGAGAAAAGTGAATGCATGTGTGGAAGCCATTAAACAATGAAGAATTTCGTTGCTCGAAACGTCGGCTGCTACAATTTAATAGGGCGGGCGGGCGGGCGAAACTTAACCATTAATTGATGTGTGGAGTGGCTGAGAAGCAAAAGTCAAAAAATAAAGACAAAAAAAGGACTGAGAAAATCTAGTGGACAGGGCCCTACCATTTCTCTTCAGTCATGCCAATTGGCTTCCTTTATTTTATAAATAAAATAATATAAAGACCATAATGGATTTGGTGGAGGCCCAAATTTTGACTTTAGCATAGTGTAGTGGGCTGGGCTGGGCTGTCTTATTAAATAGAGGGAGGGGAGCAGATGAGGGGATGGATGGATAGTGCGATTCCCCTATCTACTTCCTAGGCACACTGCATTGCATTATCTCCCGCATGCATGCCTATCTAATCTTAATGACTTTTCTTACTCTCCTGTCTTTCCACTACGCATCACACACAAACATTAATCACTCACCATAAGTCAATATTCATGTCTCTGTGTGTGTGTGTGTGTGTGAGAGAGAGAGAGAGACAGGTGCACGGCAACTCAAGGATTACACGACAAATACGACTTTTGCTTTTGTATACATAGAGAGAGAGAGAGTTGTGAGCAACAAAGAATTTGTATTACAAAAAATTTGAAGTTCAAAAAATAGCATAGATCATACGGATTTGAAATACTTATTTTTTCGGACAAAATAGATGGCATTATTTATAGGACTTGAAAACCAAAATTTTTTCACAACCATAATGGATTTGACAGTTTTCCAACCCAAGAATTGCAATTTTTAGTAAGCAGCCCTATCAAACCATTTCCAAATTAAAAAAAGGAGACCTCGTAAAAAATGAGAAAAACATGTATGGGGACCAGCCATTAAAACCTCCGAATTTTGAGTCAAAAAATAAATAAATAAATATGATCTGTTTGCTTAGATCCACAGCGGGGTGATAAATTTGTTATTTGGGGCATTCAAAATTCAAACATTGATTGGACAAGGCCAGATACCAAATATTGGTTGAAAATCCTGAAGCACGCAGCAGCCTCCTGAACGTTTTTCGACTACCGACACCAACCGTCAGACAACGAAAAGCTGCCGACTGAGGACCACCCTAACCCAACTCAACTCCCCTACACCCACTACAACAGCTTTACATATGGACAAGCTTTCTCTGATTCTTCTACATCATCAAACTTATATACTTCCCCTTATCCAACCATCATAAAACTTGTATTCTTCCCCTTATCCAACCATCATAAAACTTATATACTTCCCCTTATCCAACCATCCCTTCATAATGAATGGTAGGTCAAAATTGCCCCAATCACAATATCAAGTCTTTATATTATTTTATTTTTAATTTTTATTATATAAATTATTTTGACACCAAATTTTATACATCCAATACTCTATTAAACTCGTACTAGTAAAAATAAATAAAAACAAAATTCAACAAAATAAAATGATCAAAATACCCTTAAAAGTTTCTAGAGGTATTTTGATCATTATATTTTATCGAAAAAATATTTTTAATATTGTTTATAAATGCACCCCAATGAGAATATGATACATACCAAATTTCATATTCATAAAATTTGTATAAAAAAAACTAAAAATAAAATACCTTGAGAGTCGGATCCAAGATCAAACAGTGAACAGCTCTCTTGATCAAAATTGGACCGCTAGACGGTAGGAGAAGCATAAATCTTCTATATTGTAAGGCAAGTACAAAAACATTTCCCTTTACACATACCCATCAATGTTTATAATGTATGCAATGCTCCCTCCATAGTAGTGCTTACTTCTACTAGATTATTCTCAAAAAAAATATATATATATATATATTATTAGTTTTCTAACAAGTAAATCTCATTTTCTAAAAATTGGAAGGTTCTATTCAATCTTGAGACATTATTTTTTTAAAGTACTTGAAGCGTGCAATTGGGAAAGAAAAAAATTATCCCGGTTAAGAGGTTATATCCCCATGATCCTAAAACTAATCCTAGGTGGCGTTTTACCTAAGGGAGGGGAGTAAATAGAAAGTATACTCCCGAGGGAGTAGAACATCTTTTGGCTTTTCCCTAAGCCAATGATCTACCACAAAATGATTTGAAGAATTTTCCCCATCGATGTGATAGAAGGAAGAAAACCCAACTCTAATATCTTTTGGCACGTTGCAAAATCGGTCAATAACCGAGTGCTCTGCTCTAGTCACATTAAGCACCTTAATGTTCATTCAATCATCGCCTTCAGACAAAACATCAAGCTCCATAGGCATGCAGAACCCATAGCCATAGGACACTACAAAGTGATTCAGATTATGAATCCAACAAGATGTAATTAACCTTATGAGATGCGAACCAAAAAAAGAAAGAAGGTTTGACCATGATCTTGGCCACTGAAAATCAATGTTTAACTTAGAACCGGGTCATAGAATGAGGGTTTGACAGATTGGAATGCAAATAAAAACTGAGTCCTCCGTTTTTTTTTACAATCACAACATTTAGAAAACAAGCTCGCTTGAAAAATTCCAGTTCTCCATTCATGGAACAAACTGTTAATAGAAATCAAAGAAAAATAAAATTATGCCTCGGAGAATAATATCTAAGAAAACAACCTCAGTATACCTAGAGACTACCATTGAATTCTAAATTTCTAGTGCATTAGAACAGATAGTATCAACATTTCACTCTTGTCCTCTTGAATGTTTCCTCCATCTTTATGCATAATTTGATGTAATGACCATTTTGTTGAATAGATATTATGATTCTACATCTGAACAAATTTTTTCCTTTAACCATGGTTTACTGCTTTGCTAAAAGTCTGCAAAACAAAATTTTACTCAAAACCAGAAAAGCTCAGATCAAAACAGGGCCAGACAAGAGAGATTAAAGTAAGTACTCTGGAGTGTGAAATGTGGAATAAGAAAAAGGAAGCAAAAAAGGATCAAAGTAGGATGCAGCCACCATAAAAACAATTCTTACATTTTTCTTTTTCATCTTGCAGGGAGCCTGTCTCACTCCAAAAAGGCCACAATGGCTCAAAAAACCAACCTTTTCCCATCTGTATTTCTTCTCCATCACCCCCGTATTTACAGGACAACGTTTTGGTAAATGGCAGCCACGAAGATGAAAGAGCACAGGGTAGAACGTTTCAAACTGAGGCTAGCCAAGTTGAAACACTAAGATTGATTGGGTTGGGATAATAAACGCGAATGGTTGTGCTCCCCTTCATAAGTGACTATTAGCATTGAAGGGTCTTCTAAGCACCTCTCAACATGTTTCCTAGCAGGGCAACCCCTCATGCTGCTACATTTGTAATATCCCCTGCAAAAGACCCAGATTGTTAGTCATTACTTGATTTTATTATTCCGAAGTTTCTTTTTGTGATTAAAAGGTTCCCACTTTCTCATTTACGACAGAAACTACATTCTGATTAAAAATAATCCATATTTAATATCCAGCTGTAGCTTCAACATCGTAGAAACTTCAACACTAAACACTATACTGTTATCAATGTGTCACACGTAACTACAGCCAATCTATAAAAATCTGGTACAGATATCGCTAACGAACACATGCATTAATCATTCACAACATAAAAATGGCAAACCACCATTGTTATAATGCTTAAAATTGAGAGGAGAGAGCAAAGAAATTTAGGGTGACAACAACCAATTTCAATTTGTGCTTTATATATATGCCCTGCTCAATTATGCAGGCCATATTCAGACAGACGGATCAAATAGCAGAATTGCAAAGACAACACATCAATAATACATGAAGAAACAGATACAGTAAGATAGATCCATAATTTCAGCAAGTAAGAAGAAAGTTCCATTTTCAACATTACGGAGTACCTTCCACGGATGTGCTTAAAAAAGGCATCATATAAGATCCCACCACAACATAATCCAAAACCAAAACAGAAGCCATAGAGTAATACCGGCTACTCGTATCATATCTGCTACTTATACAAATGGAAGACAATGTGTTTATGTGGCAAAAAACTCAAAATGGGTAAGAATTTTAAAGAGTGAAAATCCCATATTATAATCATCAGAATGAAGAATATAGAGCAGAAACATCGATCAATCGGCAACCAAGCTGCAGAAAATATACAGATACTGGGACTGATAGAAGCAAATCACTGTAATAGACATATACAGAACATACTTAAGCAAAGAAATAAACTGCCAGTGGGTGCAAATAAGCCCATCTCCATGCAAATAAATCATCAAAACAATTACAAGAGAACAAAGAGAGAGAGGAGAAATCTCAGAGATGAAATGAAGGGAAAGATTAGTCTCAAATTATACCTTGGATGAGGAGAACCTTTAATTGGTTTTTGTCCATACTTCCTCCATGAATACTCATCAGGAGGGATATCAGCAAGCTTGTTACTAATTGCAGGAACCTTAATGGATCTCTTCACCCTAATTTTCCTGCAAAAAAACCTACCCATACTCAAAACGAAGAAAACAAACATAAAAACCTAAATTCTTTCTCCCTCTTCTTCTCATGCAAAACAAAACAAAAAAAAATCGAGAATGAAAAGGAAAAGAAAATGACCTTCTCTTTGAACAATGACATCTCCCACTGGTGCCACATTTCCCACTCCCATCTTCACCTTTACCAGAGCACCTCCTCTTCTGGCTATGACCACTTCTATCCTGGGAAGAAGCAGGAATCAAATGGAACGGCTTCCCATCCATACTAGCTACACTTCCATCCATGCTCAGTGATGAAATGAATGACCTCGATGAAATCGTCGGCGTACAGCTCGAATTATCAAACTTCAAATTCATGCTCCCACTGTTGCTTCTCCTGTACATGAGATCAGCTTGGGCCTGCAACTTCATTTGTTGCTGAAACTGCATCATGTGCTGAATCTGCTGTTGCTGAATAATCTGTAAATGGGTGTTTGGTCCCTGAATTTGAAGTTGGGTTTTGGAATCAGAGATGGGTTGTTCGATTTGGGTGGTCTCCAGTAGAGATTGCTGGCACGTGGAAGGTTTCGAAGGGGCTTTCCTGAACCTTGCATGGCCTAATCTCTGGTTCAGGAGAGAGACAACCTTCTGAAATTTCACTAAAGCCTCTGAAGTGGTGGAACCCATAAGGGTTTTCAACTGTAACTGATCTTGGGGCTGAGATAAAAGGCTCAACACTCTGTGGCAGCATTCAACAGCTGCTCTATTAGCTTCTTCCACCTCATCCATTGAACCCCCTAAACCAGAAAAACCCTAACCCTGATATTGAAACCCTAACCCTAATACTGAGTAACAAATCCCAGAAAAACCATCATATTTCTCCTATCAAACAAGAACAAAAACTTGGCTTTCCTCAACCAGATCTGTGGTACAAAAGAGGGTTCTAAAATTCAGAATCAGAGAGAGATGTCCATCGATCTAGAGAGAGAAAAAAAACCCAAACTGGGATTCGATCATGGCCGCCAAGGAGTCGAGCTTTAAGCCACGTAAAGATATTACAGAGAGAAAATGAATATAAAGGAGGGGGGACATGATTCTTTTCAGTTTAAAATGGGAAAGAGACCATGAAAACTGTGGTTTTTCAAAGAGGATGAAAGCGAAGGTGGGCTCCCGCCGCTAGGGTACGAAAAAACCCTAGAATTCTCGATCTGCCATGGATGCTGAGATCGAAGAACACGGAAAAAACGACTAAGGAACAGTGGAAACGATTGAAAAGGGGGAGAAAAAATGGAGGTTACAGGCATAAGGCTTTGACAAAATGGAGGGTCGTACCACGCTGCTACAGACAAACGAAAGAGAGAAATTAATGATCAAAAAAAAAAGAGGAAAGAAAAAGGTCTTCGTAATCATTTTAAATGGAAAAAATTTACTATAATACCCTCCGTAGTTTCGGTTTGGAACGAAACTACCCCTAACGGGTTTGCTCGTAACTGACAACTCGTTTGAAATACCCACGAGATTGAGGAATATGTCCCTCAGGTCCTTCAGGAGGAGGCCCTGTTTCGTAACGCCTACGGAATATATGAGAAACAGGAAGCCTTAGAGAAAAAACGCAGAATAGAAAACTTATCGCTAGAAGCGGGAAAAGCTTTAGGTGCAATTTTTGTAAAAATCAAATAGAGCTTGGATAAAGAGAAATTGAGAGATGGTGAGCAGACCAACCAAATAAAAGAGTAAGGGGGGGGGACCTCCCTCCCATTTCCCCCTTATTTATCTGAGAAATCTGGCGGCTATAAATTTCCCTAAATTTTTGGGGAAAAAGTGTGGAAACAGTGAGAAATACCTGTATTTTCTACACTTTTTTCCATTTCTAAACAGGCGAAAATGGCGTAAATGATAATAAGGAGAAAATGACATATTTTATCAATTGTTGTGTTTCTCTTGTTTGGGAATGGGAAAAAAAAGTGCGGAAATGTGGAGCTTCGCATTCCTTTGGGTTTTGCTCACTTTTTTCTAAATTTAGGGAAAACTGCAGCACACCCTAAGGGGTGGGGTGATCCACCTATTTCTTAGAGAAAAGGAGAAAACGCGAGCCCCTTCATCCTCATTTTATTTTTCTAACCTCATGATCTCTCTCCCCCTCTCAATCTACCTTTGACCTAAGCTTTTTCCCGTTTTCACATACAAGTTACCACAGAAAGGTTCTCAACTTCTACCCTTTTTTTTTTTTTGTTTTATTGTTTCTTCAAAGCTTCCACTTTTAAGAGATTCTCCAGGAAAACAACATTCACAGTTATCAAACGGCTCCTAAAGGTATTTGGTTTTCTTTAGCGGAGTGACCATCATTAAGGTAAGTGATGATTTTAGAACCATCAGTATAAATTCTTAAATTCTTTTGCCACTGAATATTTACAACTAATAAGAAGTTCTCAAATGGCATTGACCTTGTCATCCATTATGCGGATAATCTAATATTAAAATTTATAGGATATTTATATCTTCATCATTTTTATATTTTTTGAATTTTTAATTAAAAATAAAAATAAAATTTCAAACTACCATATAGGTTTTGACACCAAATGTGCATCTGCCGATAGGATTTGGACGTGTATGTTAATACTGTATTAAATAGCACCCAGATATTTGTTTCTAATTATGTACAGTATGGTTTTCTAAGTAAATTCTACCATACAAATTCTAGAACCAACTGCTGGACGTACTTCATCGGTTTTCAATTGTTATGATAGAGAGAGAGAGAGAGAAAGCGGGGTAGCCAGCATCAACCAACCCCTCATCTGCTGCAACAGTTCAAGAAAGAGTGAGTAGTGAGAGAAACAACAAAACCATTACCACCACTTTGTCGAGTGTTTTGGAATCGGCCGAGTCGGATCAGAATCACGAGCTTCTCAATTCTTAACTAAGCGAATTATGTTGGTTTGACATGAACGGGCACACTTTGTATATTATCCATTTACTCCCTTAAGTAAAACCCAATCAGCCGATAAACTAACCCAAAGTTAAAAACTTCCAATTGAGCTCTCTATGCATTAAGAAAAACATAACTCAAGATTAAACAAAGGTTGTCCAATTTTTGAAGGACGAGATCTAAACGTCATAACACTCATAATTTAATATTTATTCTGAAAATAATCATCAAGTGATTCTTAAGTTATTCCAAAATTTCAAAACGAAAAAGTCCTCCTATTTTATATATATATATATATATATATTGGAAAATTGTTTTATGGGGGCTAGACCGTATTTCTACAATATGTGGTCCCAAAGTATAAAGCATACATCTTTAAGATGGATGCAAATAGGTGGCTCATCTAAAAACAATTGAAACTAACGGTCCAAATGCTATTTTAATATAATTATTATTTCTAAATTAAAATATTTATTTATTTATTCATATTCATAATCTTCTTGACAGAGATTACATGTTTTTAAAAATTAAATGTAATATCTCAAAAATAGATTTCAAATATGTGAGTCACAAAAACTGTGTCTATATATGTTTTAAGAGTAATGATCTTATGAAACCCTTCCACACTCATGTGTATAGGATTTCAAATGATCACTATTAAATTTGATACAGGTATTTAAAATTTTCAAATATTACATCCACATGATAAATTTTGTAAAGATGTGTACCAAATTTAATGGTAATCTTTTGTATGGGTATAAAAAAAATATAATAAATTTACTGTTTATATTTTAACCAAAAAAAGTAAATGTACAATATATGAACGGCTTCTCCCAAGTTTCATAAGAAGTTGAGGGTAGTCAATGGTTGCTTATTAAGGTGAGAAAATGGCATATTAGAGATTTATTTTTTCAAATACGAGAATACCCCTAAGTGCGCTAAACTGGGCCACCTGTAGCCGTAATGATTAAGACCTAACGTGGCGATCCAAAAGTCGGAGATTAATTTTACGGTGATTATTGCTGTAATCTTTTGTGCCAACCTTATTGTTACCATAATCACGTCACGTTTTTTTTTCCTTCACATGGTCAAGTGAGAACTGCATTTCCATATCTACCCCCAATGCTTATACACGTTCGCCATCTTCAGTGGTTCTAGAGAGAGAGTGAGACTAGAGCTCAAGAGGACACGGAGCATCGCCTATGGACAGTGTTATAGAGGAATATACACGTGGGAATATCACATATGAGAGGGAGGCACGTGGTAGAGAGATACTTACAGGGTGAAATACCTCCCAGAAGTGATATTTCAATGATGTGGGATAGAGAGAAAAACGATTCACTCAAAAAAAAAAAAGTTAAGAGAGATAAACAACTGTGAGAGAGAGAGAGAGACCGAAGTGCGATGGTAGGCGGTGACCAATGGTTGTTTTTGTTTTTTTTTTTATTGAGACGTGGAAATAACGTGTTTTTTTTTCGGTAAGTAAGAATAACATGTTCAAACACTGTAATTAGTTAGGGAAAAGTAGTTGATAATTAATAATTTAACGATAATCCCGATAAAGGTTTAGATTTAGTGAAAATAGAATATAAGTCCATCTCAAATCTTTGTCTGAAAAATACTTTGGACCAATGGTTTAAAAACCGGATCGGTGACCCGGATCGGGCTTTTCAAAAATCGATTCGGATCGGAGAATCGGCGATCCGGATCGGCGAATC